CGTGCTATGTACAGAGCATCCCGTACATGCGTACGATCTGCCGCGAGAACTACGGGCAGTATCGGTGTGGCTGTAGGGCTGCACCAAGGGTCGGCATTGAGCCCTTACCTCTTCCTACTGATTATGAACGCTTTGACGTCGGACCTGCAGGATGAGGCACCCTGGTGCATGCTCTTTGCCGATGACATCGTGCTTGTCGGGGAAGAGGGCATCGAGGTACAGAGCAGACTGACGGGGTGGCAACAGAGGCTGGAAAGTGCTTGCTTGAAGATCAGCAGATCCAAAACCCCTTTCCAGTCCTGTACCCATGTCGTTGGATGGCACTATACTGCCTACCTGCTCAGATTTCAAGTACCTCGGCTCCCTCATTCAAGGCGACGACGAAATAGATAGAGCTGTGCAGCATAGGATTAACGCATGGTGGATGAAATGGCGACAGGTCACAGCCACAACGTGCGATCCCCGAATGAAAATAAGGCTGAAGGGGAAAATTTACAAATCGACCATCCGACCTGTCGTCATGTATGGGTGAATGCTGGGCTGTCAAGAAGAAGGATGAAAATAGATTGCATGCGAATGAAATGAGAATGTTACGATGGATGTGTGGTGTGACAAGGATGGATAAGATAAGGAACGAGTATATAAGAGGAAGCCTGAAAGTAGCGCCAGTGGTAGAAAAGGTGAGAGGAAGCAGATTGGCATGGTTTGGGCATGTGATGCGGAGGGATGAAAGTCATGTCACAAAACGTGTGTTGAATAAGAATATGGAGGGACACACGGGCAGAGGAAGGCCGAATAAAAGATGGATTGATTGTGTGAAGAATGATATGAGAATGAAAGGAGTAAGTATGGAAATGACGGCTGATAGAGAGGAATGGAACAAGAAGATTTACTGCGCCGACCCCAGATAATGGGAAATGGTTTAGAGAATGACGATGACTTTTAAATTGTCTTTTTTACAGTCGGGTTTTTGATTTTTTAAATTATTTACCTTATTTATTAATTGTTGTAATGTTTTATCTTTGTTATTGTGAGTTTGTAATTTTACCTTCAAAAATCTCTTTATTTTTATTTTTGTTATAACTTATTTTAAGATTATTTGTTTAAATATTAATACTTATATCCTTAGACTTAAAATTGAATACTTATTTGTCAATGGTTTTGTATACTAACTTATTTAGTTCGCATATTATACATACAGCATCGAACCAAATTACGTTCCGAATATACTTGCGTTATTTAGATTTGACATTTTACATGTTCTACACACACTTACATCTAATACATCGAAACATATATACTACACATTTACATTACTTAATAGGAAAATATACTTTATTATGTTGACGACATTTAACACTTTTGTGTAAGTTCATCCTATGCTGTAAGTACGTTCAAATTGTCTATGCGTTTGTTTTTCGATTTTTAGTAAAAAGAAGACTGTCAATCGGTTTCTTAAACGCTGGCTCCCTAGGCACCCGCCATGATGAGTTTCTCGTAGCAATGTCACGGTATCAGGTAGACGTAATGGCTATCAACGAAACGTTATAAGAGAGAACGAAGAGGGCCGTGCACCGTCACCGCCGGGATATCGGTTACTTCACGTACCGCTTCCCACCGAATTGCGTGCACGTGGTGGTGGAGTCGGATATTACGTTAGTCTTGGAGTCAACGTTCGCAAAATTGTGCACCTGCTAGCAACTTAGTAGAACAAATGTGGCTAGGATTAAGTATTGACGGCATCAAAGTAGCGATTGGTATGACCTATCGTGCTCCGTGGGTAAATGTCGATAGTTTTATTGATGCCCTCACTCAATCCGTTTCTTCTTTTGGTAAATTCGAATATATTATCTTGCTCGGTGATTTCAACATAAATATTCTTAATACACAGGAAACTAATGTTAAGAAGCTACAAAGTTTCTTTAATTACATGAATATCACTCAGTTTGTAAAGCAACCGACGCACAATTCACAGATCATAGTGAAACATTGATTGATGTAATTTGTTCTAATATGACTCTTTATAAGGTATCAATTAATTATATTCCTGATCTTTGCAGTCATGCATTTTTAACATTTTGATATTATATATATATATGCGCCTAATATATATGACCTATACATATACGTATGATATATATATCGATATATATATATATATATATATATATATATATGATATATATATGATAACTACAATTTTTTTTGTTGTGTTCACTATATATGAGCAATGCAATATTAAAAGTACAAGCCCCAAAGTGGATCCTTGAGTTACACCTCTTGGAACTGGGAACGTGGTAGATGTCCATTCTGATTCATTGTATTTATTTATTTTAACAAATTGTGTACAACTAGTCAGGTAACTTGCAAACCATTTTATTGTTATATTATCAAATCCGTAGTAAGCGAGTTTTGACAAGAGTAGAGTGGAGTTAATGGTATCAAAAGTTTGGGAAAAGTCAAGCAAAACTAACAGAGTACCCTCTCCAACATCTTGAAAGAAGAATATCATCCACTACATCCATCAGAGCAGTTGCAGTGCTACGAGACACTCTGAATCCGGATTGCTTTTTAGGCAGGATATTATTAGCCTGGAGGTACTTCGTCATCTGTGTACAGACTACTCTTTCCAGAACTTTAGACATAAAGGGAAAGATACTTATAGGGCGAAGATTCTTGTAGTAGTAGGATTGGACTTTTTGGGAATCGGTTTTACTAAAGCTATTTTCCGCTGCCTTGGGAATACACCTGTTTCAATATATTTGTTAATTATTCTAGTAATAACTGTCAATGTTCGGGGTAAAGTTAATAATATCATGTTTAGAGAATGCCATCATGGCCTTGTGCATTTATTTTAAAAGATTTTATTATATTAGGAACAGTTGTTTCATTAACCGTATTAAGCTTAAAAGTGCTAGGCCCAAATGTATCAAATTCATAGCTAGTTTAACGTGATATAATGACTTCATTATTGCCGGGAAGCTCAAGAAAATAATGATTTATATTATTTGAATCACATAAATGAGTACGTTTTGTTTGATATTTTTTCATAAATTACGAGGGTTTTTTATCGTATTAATATTACGCATTAATTACTAAGATATGCAGGATTTTCATTGTGAATTGCCGTCCTTACAATGTTTTAAAATTCTTTGTAATAATGTTTATGAATATCAAGTTTCGTAAATCTACTTTTAGCACGTGATTCATCGCGCAATTTTATCATTTCTTTAACAGTATAGGTTATCCACGGAAAGTAGGTAAGAACCGGCAAGAAACTCTGGGGTCTTTCTTATAATTATGTTACAGTTTCTTTAACAACCCTTAATGAAAACAATCCAATGTAAAATGTCTATTTTTTCGTTGTTAAATGTCAGTTTTACAGTATATCAACTGCCGGTGGACTTACAAGTTTCAAGTGCTGAGTAATAGTTACTTCTACACATATTTGTTCCCAATATATATTAATACTTTGTAGCGGGCTTTTTTAACAAAATTTCTGTAACAAGGTTGTTGCATTTAATGTGCATTAAATAAAAAAAAATAGCCAATTTAAATATAAGAACCTCTAGCATAGCGCTTTGGCCTCAAGCATATAGATAGAATGACGTACAGAAAAATGCTAATCCCAAACTATCAAGCCTAGTGAACAGTGTCTTAGTTTGGATTCGCCTGCCAATGCAGAGATTGCGTACAATTTGATGAGATATAGAAAATTAAATAAAGTTTTCAACACCGGTATGTTTATGTACAGAATATTACAATGGCTTTATTCAGAAAACTCTAGTTTATATATACTTATTGGAATTTCAAGGTCACAATTACGATTGCGTGGTTGGCAATTATTGATTCAAAAAGTTTCAAAAAGTTTGATTATGAAAAATACTAACTTAATAAACTACGAAACTATGATTTTCCTTGAATTTTTTTTTGAAACTGGTGGTAGCTCTGGGGCAGGACCGGCCTTAAGTTTAATCTATCTCTTTTTTATTGGTGCATTCATATCCACTGCTGGTCCTGAAGCCCGCACGTAGTTGGAATGATTTTTCTAAATCGTCACTCTTAGCAGCCGCATTGACTTTTTCAATACCAGACTTATCTTTTACATCGCAGTCCATCACTAATTAAGGTATAATATTTTATGTAAAAGGCAAACGCAAAAACTAGCTCTAATAGCCTTTTAATTAACAACATAGCTTTTCTACTAAAGGGCGCCGGTCAAATAGCTACTTGAATGATATTCAGTGGATGCGTGTAATACAACATTGTAATATCAGCGTTAGTAAGTTAAATTGTGTTTGGTTGAGGGGCAGTCAGAGACTACAGACCACCACACACACCTGACACACCTCTCTCGCCTCCTCTACATCCAAACATCTACGCATACACGCTCGTTCGTTAAGGGTACTCTAATCTGGCCCGTTTTCATTATGTTACCAGTTTTGTCAGTAAAAACTTTTTTCTAGGGCATCACTTCCCACCTCTAACGTTCACATCTGCAATATAAATTTGCTTTTTCACTCTTTCCCGGTTCATTCTTTTTACATGTCCTAACCACAGAAGCATTCCTTTCTTAATCTTGGTCACAACATCATCTTGCAAATCACACTTTTCTTATCACACAATTTCTCACCTTGTCATTCAGATTCAGCCCTAGCACTACTCTTTATTGACCGTTTATATTTATATAATATAGCATATAGTGCATAATCAGGCGTGAAATGTATTAGACGCATCGGCTGATGCGCTTGTACTGAATATCGTTCAGGCCACTAGTTAAGAGTAAAAAGGTCAGGCTAAAAGCCTGACCTTTTTACTCTACTTATTTAACGGTTAATTAAGCTAGTTGGCTGGGACATTTATACCACTATCTTTTGGAAGCCATAAGATTCTCTCGATCTAGTTTTTCCCATTGTCGCGCACGGAACATAATATTACTGTTAGCAAATTTCACTTTTTTTGTTAGTATTGAATATAAAATATAATAATAATCAACGTACCCTTGCTCTCTTTGTTTGAAATAAACCAAAAATCGTATAAGCTTCCAACAATGTTCAGTATTAGTATTGCCAAGCAAATAACTGCAACGGCTACGTCGCCATAATCTACATCCACTTTATTGTCTAGGTCATTACACAGAACTTCAGTGGACAGCTTGCTTTTTAGTTTGTATTGTTTCCAAAGAGTATCATTAAGGCATCCCTCAAGAACTAAGTTTAGGTCCGCTGATGTATTTTGACTAAGGTAGTCTTTACATGTTCTTGTTACACACACGCCTCGATTGAGACGTGAATGATTCAAGTTCATCTCCCTGCGTAGAGAATATTCCTGCAATAGATAAAATAAACAAATATACGAATAAGTACTTGTAAAAATAATGAAAATAAATCTAGAAATATTATTTATACCTACGTTCAAATCAAAAGTGACATAATATTTGTTTTATCATCATCATCATCATTACAGCTTATCAGAGTACGCTGCAGAACATAGGCCTATGGGAGACAAATAGATTGCCGCATAAGGAGTTTGCTTAATTACTTCCAGCACTTTTGTCAGGTGGATGCAACTGCAGCATTTTTTTTATTTCAAGCACTTTGATAACTAGGAGCATCTTCCTGATGGATTTCTCCTTTCTGTTTATCTCCTGTTTCTGTTTCCCTCTGTCACCTCTTACGACACTTATAGTCATGCTGCAGCTATGTTATAGTTGTAGCACGAATGGACCGCAACCTTAAGGACCACACTCTTACAGAATTTCAACGTACAATAGCAGCTTAATGCTGTTGTGTTTCGCATGATGAGTGTATAGATCCAGAGAGATTCTTTTTACTGGATACGAGGCATTCCATCTTTATCGTCAGCAGTGCTTCAGCATTTATATTCTTAATCGGGAATAAATGTAGATATTTGAGAGTCATACATACCATCAGGTTAACTGTGAGCTCGCAGTTTGTCACCCTTATTTTATATAAAAAACCTATGGGATATTATTGAATAGCATATGTATTCTTTTACGCCGCCTTTACATGATATTGAATTGTTTATTTGATAGGAAATGTTTATCAGTGTCCTTTTAATATATTTTTTAATGAATGACTAACACTAGGCTGCATTAAAAGTATCGGAAATGGAATATTTCCACTGTACCTGTCATATTAAAATCTTTTTAATTGAAAACTCCTTGGTTTTAAAAATCGAATACCATTTATTTATTTAAAAAAAGATTGTCGGTCTTGTCACAAGGTTTTGGCAAACTTGTTTAGTCGTTGAGAAAATGGAATTGACTCGAGAAAATTTAAAAGCGATGATTTATTATGATTTTTGAAGTGGTTTAACATAAAAACAGTGTATTGACCGGATGATTTCTGCATTTGGCGATGAAGCCACATCCAAAACCACAATTTATCGCTGATTTGCTGAATTTCAACGTGGACGTGCCAAGCTCAGTGATGATCACCGTCAAGTTCGTCGAAAAACTGCAGTCACCCATGAAAACGTTGATGCTGTGTGTAAGCTGATTGAGGAAGATCGACATGTGATATACCGCGAAATTTAGGCAACTTTAGACATTGGCATGAGTCAAATACAAATAATCTTGCATGAATTTCATTCGCTCTGTGAAGAGCAAAAAGCGGCTCGCATTACTTGGTGCGTCAGAACTCTCTAAAAACTCCACGCAGGATCCTCAAATGCTGTATACAACATCGTATCAGGTGACGAATCCTGGATATATGCGTACGAACCCGAAACAAAAACCCAGTCACGAGTTTGGGTGTTCGAAAATGAGTTAAAGCCAACAAAAATTGTTCGTTCACGGAGTGTTGCAAAAAAAAGGTGGCCACGTTTGTATCCACAACCGGCCATGTTACGACTATTCCTCTTGAGGGACAAAGAACGGTTAATGCAGAATTGTATGCTATCATTTGTTTGCCACAGGTCGTTTCTGAACTCCGTAAAGAGAACTGCAACCGCCGCATCATCCTCCATCACGACAATGCGAGTTCTCACACCGCACACAGAATAAAAGAGTTTTTAGAGCAAGAAAACATATAATTATTAGACCATCTGCCGTACAGCCCCGACTTAAGCCCTAATAATTTCTACACTTTCCCTAAAATAAAGAATAAATTGCGTGGACAGAGATTTTCATCACCTGAAGAAGCTGTGGACGCCTACAAAACGGCCATTTTGGAGACCCCAACTTCCGAATGGAATGGTTGCTTCAATGATTGGTTCCATCGTATGGAAAATGTGTTAAATTTCGCGGAGAATACTTCGAAAAGCAATAAATATATTTTTAAGTAGTAATGGTGTGTCATTTCCTTGATTCCCGAAATTTTCAGTGCCGCCCTCGTATAGCTAATTTGCAATTGTCATTAGTCTATACATGAGTCACTGATGAAACTTTAGCCCCGTAAGAAGATACGAAAATGTTTATTAGTTATGATATACAAGTTTCGTTAACGGCGCTGTCGAGCAGTGGTTTAGCAATGTGTTATTTTTTCGTTAAATCTGTCTTGACTAATAATATTAAGGGGATAGAGTAAGTCAGCTCAAATTCTAATTTCTCCCCCACTTCCCCGTGCGTCGTATGCTATGTACCGACATGTTTGTAATCATTAATACTGTAAGTAGATAGGTCATTAGATAATTATTTCATTAGGTTTATCATATTTATGCCTGTTTCTTAACGCCAACCAAGTCGCTTCTTATTTTTATCACGGTTATTTCCCATTTTAATTTTACGTCGTCCTGTTGCGTAATATGTATTCTGATCGTAAGCGACACAACTTATACTAACGGGGTGAAAGGAATCATGCTTCAAGACGCCGATAGTTTAGGTAATTTCTTTTTACAGTGAAAATAATGGTATTTTAAAAAAAGTAAATAATATAAGCACTGCTTTATAGTTAGTTCACTTAGTATGCAAAGTTTCATGATTTTATTTAAAGTATTTTATGAATAACAGCTGTTTATTGTTCAGTTTGGAGGTAACTTTGGATTTTTTTTCTATCGAGAAAATTTTATGGAATCGTGTTTCCGTCTAACATAGTCCTTAACATTAATCCTCAACTTTACCATATATTTATTTCAAAATTAATGCTGCAACACTTTCGGCATAACGAAGGATCTTGCTAAGCCATTTGAGGTTATATTTCCCCTTAACTACCTAACGCGATTGCTGAACTTGTTATAATTCTTATAATACGGCATCAAAAAAAAAAACGTTTTTAAGTACACATCTTATTAACTATAAGCATTTACAGAAAAATATTTAATAATAAAATATTTATTCTTCACACCATATAGTTTAATTAATATCTCACATAACATCACAAACATAAAAAGTTTTTAACAAAAAATATAAGAAAAATTAAAAACAAAATATGTTAAATTATGCAGTAAAAACCAAGGTTGTGTGAAGGAATACGCTTCCTTCACCTCATTTGGTTTTTATTGTTTACACTAATTCAACGGGTTTTGGAAAGCTAATCCTATGGAAACGAGCGTTTGGTTATTTTCTTTTATTTAATCTGCTTCGCTTAAGTACGTGTAAATATTTTATTATGTAGTATAATTAAAATACTGTTTTTCTTTTATTTCCTTTAAATTTTTACAAGTTTTACTGCGTGTTTACAAACATACATACATACGAAGTTACTATTGGTAAAAACATTATAAAAATATAAAAGTGCAAGATGGAAAATAAAAATAAGGAAAAATAAAAAAGTTGTCAGATATATCCAGAAGTAAAAAAATCAAACTCAATAAAATCAAGTTTTGTAAATATAAATAAAAGAACAAAACACAGAAATACAAAAAATGAGAAACACCTTAAGCCCATACACTGGTCATATTTTGCGTGTCTTATTAGAGGAAAAAACATTATAATAAAAACATAGTTTACTGTGCAATATTATATAAAAAATATCAAAACTGTGAGGAGGAAAGAAAAGAATGGAGTGTAACTTAGAGTTAATTAGTATATTACAATACAACGAGATATCAAATAATAATCTAGAGAAATAAACAGTGCTTAAACAATACCCCATTCTGCATTAAAAAAGATTAAAAAGTCAAATAGAAACAAAAACAGCCAAAAAACCTTCAATAAACACTACAAGTTGATTTAGGAAGACGCTATCCTTCTCTTAGTTTTCCTTTTATTGCCTCGTAAAACACCCGCGGGATAGTCTGGAGCAGTAGACAACCCTACACTGCTACAGCACGGCGATTTGTTTAGACATACAAAAAGAAAAATCCATTCTAATGACTGTGTCCAGGTATTTAAATTGCTTAATAAGGTCATTGGCGAAAAATGTTTTTTAATATTTTGATTGTGTTGCATCAAAAGATGGTTGTTTTTTTTATAGAATAGGGTGACAAACGAGCACACAGTCCACCTGATGGTAAGTGGTTGCTGTGGCCCACAGACATTTACATCTGTCCTCGATTACGAAACAAAATGCAGATACGTCGCCACCCGTGAGGACTTAGGTGGAATGCCTCGTTTCCAGTAAAAAGGGTCTCCGGTTCTCTACACTCACCATACGAAACACAGCAGTATTAAGCTACTATTTGACGCTGGTATTCTGTGAGAGCGTGGTTCCTCCCCGGTCGAGCCGACCCATTCGTGCTACAACTATACTATTAATACAACTGCAGCATGGCTCTACCAGTTATAATTTTTTGTTTTGATGTAAAAAATGAAGAGTGTGTCAGAATCGTGCCAAATCAGTAATCTTAGTTTATAATTAAATGATGTTTAATGTTAAAGTGTCTTATATTAAAGATTATTATTCATAAAATTTCGTAATCCTAGATTTTGGAAATGAGATCCAAACTATTTTTAAAACTGTGAGTTCAAGATTTCTCCCGAAGGAGGAAGTTTGATTTTTTAGAAAGGAATTAAGCTGATGCTTGTGTATTCTTAATGTATTTTAGGTAACCGAGATCAAAATTGTGCTTCTAAGCACAATTTTGATTCATTAAAATAAGATTGGTCCAAGACAACATGTATCTGCAAAATTAACGAAAACTGTTATAAGCATTTAACAGTTTAATCGTCATAAAATAGCCACAATCACATAATTCGACTAATTATTTTGATACATAATTTACTAATTGTATATTGTAAGATCTGGGCTTATAAAAATCGTTCCGGCAGTGAGTGTTGCCCATATGCGGCATAGGACTGCTACGGACTGACAAGAATGGGAGAAATAAGTTGAATTAAAATACTAAAGAATTGTCAACCTGTTCCATCTAATATTATCATTTAAATTCCCTATACTTACCTCAATCGTAGTCATAATCTCGCTGGGCACATCAGACACTAATTTCAGTTCGACTGTGCAGTACACCCCCCCTGGCTCGTGGACGCAAGGCCCATATGGTTCCAGATGGAACAATGGAGGCATCTTGTCGTACTCAGTGTCTGTACAAAACATAACTTATTTTTACTATTATTCCGTGAAAACAAACTTACTTTAAGACTTCTGAAATTGATAGAAAGAGGGAGTAAATGTTCGGTATGGAAGAGTTTTAAAAAGTTCTATTTATATTTTCAATGTCTTGTATAATTTGATTAATTATATAAACTTCTCTATATTTATTTCGCATTATTTTTATAAATATAAGCCCGATAAAGACACGGAGCGATTTCTACTCAAGGGCAAAAGAAAAAGGACAATTTTAGTGTTTTAGACAAAAAAAATCGTAAATTCTACTCTATTCGGAAAGAAAATTCTACATACTGCTAAAATTACTAAATTTACTTCCAGAATTCAAGACAACTCTTATTGATTATGCGAATTTGTGTTACCCAAATCTTTCACAAAATCAAGATAAAACAACCAAAAAAAAATCAATCAAAAAAAAAAAAGAAAAGTTAGTGCAGTTATAAAAAATTGCATAAGATTAATTTTCAGCTAACTTAAAAATAAACATTTTAATCAGTAAGATTTTAAGCATAAATGGCTTTCTATTCGACTCAAACTCTCCTTCTTAACTTAAGGATAACTTCAGTATCTGTATTTTGTTCACGATCGACTTCCCTATAACAAAAAAGTCTTAAATCCGCATTCCACCATATTAGAGTTGTTTTTTCAATTCGTTTTTTGACTTGCAGCCATACTGATCTGGAATTCCACGCACGTTTGTATGAAGAAAACTTGTAACAAGAATTCTTTTAAGAGTTATTTGATTCCACTTGATATATCCGATTATTTTATCTCTCTTTTTTGCTTTATAAGTGGTATTTCGTAAATGTACTAAAGTTTATTTATTAGAACATTTTGTATATAAAGACATGCTTATTTTTTATCTTCTTATATTAGAAAAGTAAGTTAAAAGTAAGACCGCGTTATTCATCTGACACCGTAACAGTGATCAACCAACTACTGATCCCCTTTTGTCCCCTTTCCTATGCCACACCTCGTTGGGCTCGGGAATCAACGCGGTGGGCGTGAAAAGACGTTCTACTTAGAACCTTAACCGTTCTCTCAGAATAAAGTGGTTGAAGAGTAAGATTGCGGACCCCAAGGAATGGTCCCGGTCCAGACGTCAATCATGTACTCAGTTGAATGTATATCTTCTTATTTCCCTATTTATAGGGTAGATACTTGATGAAGTAAAACAGCAATTATTCGATCTGCCCCTTGGAAATAAGATACCATAATGTCACTAATTTCACGTTTACTTTTATTAATTTCATTTTATTATTTGATTTAAAGCTGAAAACTGTAGCTGGTCCAGAACGAGTTAAAATTGAGCAACTTATTAAGGTACTCCCGAACTAAACCGTAAAAACAATTTAAACATTAACATTACATAAAAGCATTCATAAAATATAAAGCATAATATCCATATTTCATTAATATTTTCACCTATGTACTATAGTATTCTATGTTTTCACCTGTCTTTTATAATACAACAGTTTAATGAATGAATCAAAACATTGAGCAGATATTTAAGCAAAACTTTCAGCATTAAATCTTTTATTTCCTATTGATTTTTGTCATTATTTTGCTATTTTATTACTAGTATAGAACGTTATTGATATTTCTATTATTTTATTATAATACAAAATTTAACCATAAATATTTTTAAATATACACTTTGAAACTTTTAATAAAAATATTATTTTAGTCAATATTCTTAAGAAACGTTTCGGACTTGCGTTTATCTTTTCTGCTAATTGCCTAAACAAGTTGACAAACTCAAATTTACACGACCCTTTGGATCCTATAAGAGGAATAGAAAAATAACATTTTTGCACAAATTTTGGCTGTAGATGAGATTTTAACAAACGTATCAGTAAGATGAACTGGTCCATTGCCAAACATATAGCCCGCAGAACTGACGATTGATGACGTTATCGAGTTGTATCCTTGGACCGGTCAACGAAGTGTAGGGCGTCCCCCAATAGATGGAGTGGCTGCTGGTAAGAAATGCAGGAAACCAGGTGCAGGGTGCAGGTGGCTCAGGACGTGTTTGGTGCCATTGCTTGGGCTTGGCTCATGTTCAGTAGTGAACTTGTAAAGCGTACTGCAATAATGAGAAATAAAAGTAAACCAATTTCGGTCTCCCGGACCATCATGAAATTTTAATTGCAATTTTCAAGTGAGAATTACGACATACTTCACGGCAAATAAGTAGTTTGTTTTAGTTGTGGAGTATTTTATGTTTTAAAATTCACAAAGCCTTCTGATATATTAATGTCTTTGTATATTTTGCGATATAAAAACTTGAGAGGCTTGAGAGGAGAGGGACCTCAAATAAGTAAATTGTAATAACAAAATACCTGTCAAAAATGTATACAACAGTGATGTATTTCAAGATCAATTCATAAACATCACTTTAATAATAAAAATACAGGTTCTGTGGTTCCGGCTGAAAAAATATCAACAATTGCGTTCTAAGAGCCAGAACACGTTTCGCGCCATAAATAACAACCATCTCACAACATCTAGAGATAAAACTACGAACATCTGAATCGCAACGTTTTTTATTTTTAGTTGTTTTTAAGAAGACGTTGCTGTCAATTTCCTGGCCTGTTCACTATATTGTTGTTACTGGCACGAGACGATATAAAGTAGTGTATATTCTTACACCTCCTAACACACCCAATGAAAATAATAGTTAAATAAAAATGAATGATGTATTTTAATGAGTAATATCTAAATTGTGTTACGATACATATCTTAAAAAAATGTTCAAAGACAGAGAATCATTATCATCATCAGCCTGCGGCAGACTACTGTTGGTCATAGGCCTCTCCCAAGGCGCACCACTTAGCCCGATCTTCGACTTCACGTATCCAGTTACTGCCAGCCGACTTGCGCAGATCGTCCCTCCATCTAGCCAAGGGGCGTCCCACACTACGTTTACCTAAACGCGGTCTCCACTCTATGACATGCCTACTCCAACGGCTATCGTTTCAGCGACAAATGTGACCAGCCCATTGTCACTTCAGCCTGCAAATACGGAAGGCTACATCGGTGGCCTTGATTCTCCGGCGGATTTCTTGGTTACGAATCTTATCCACTACAGAAACTTCAAGCATAGCTCTTTCCATCGCCCGCTGGGTGACTTTGAGTGTGTAGAGTAGTCGTACCGTTAGGGTCCACGTTTCGGCACTATATGCGAGTAATGGCAGGATGCACTGGTCGAAGACTTTCGTCTTCAAGCTTTGCGGTATGGGCAACGAGAAGACCTGACGAAGCTTCCCAAACGCTACCCAACCTAAATTAATCCGCTTGTCGGCTTCTTTATCGAAGTTTTATTTGAAATTATGTCCGCCTTTTGTATATGTACGACGACATAGACGACAAGAAGTGGGTATACTCGTATAAGCTCAGAATCCAGAATCAATATTCTCGTATTGAAATTGCCACTTCCAGTGGGAAGTCATACCATTTTTTTAATATAGGAGGTATATTTAACATAGGATAGGGTGCCAAACGCGCACACAGTTCACTTGATGGCAAGTAGTTGCTGTGGCCCATAGACATCTACATCTATCCTCGATTACAAATCAAAATGCAGATGCGTTGTCACCCATGAGGCCTAAGATGGAATGCCTCGTTTCTAGTAAAAAGGGTCTCCGGTCTCTACACTCACCATACAAAACACAGCAGCGTCAAGCTACTATTTCACTGTATGTATTCTGTGAGAGCGTGGTCCTCCCCCGGTCGAGCCGACCTATTCGTACTACAACTATACTACATATATAACTGCAGCATGGCTCTACCACGTATAATACAATACAAAAAAACACCTTACGAAGTGTCGTCTATAGGCTGTGACTTTTTTTGGAAATTAGGATGACAAACGAACACTTAATCCATCTGTTGGTAACCGAATTTATTGACCCATAGTTACCTACATTAAATGAGCTATGTGTTTTCATATCTGAGACTAAGTCTTTCGGAGTAAAAAGGGTTTCACATATTTTGAATTGATCTCCTCGTCCTCATAGCGTAAGGATGTTTTATGATGATGATGATGATGTAAACACGTTTTGTCCTGTACAATCAAGAGAGAATCAATTATTTAGCGATAGTATTCCCATTGAATCAGTAGGGCTACGATGGCTATCCGAGTACAGAACCAGAGTTTGAAACCTATCCAACTGCAGAGAGGTGTAAGACAGAGTGACGTTATTTCCCTGAAACTCTTCACCGCTGCATTGGAAGACGTTTTCAAGCTACTGGACTGGAAAGGATACGGTGTTAACATCAACGGCGAGTACATCACTCACCTTCGATTTGCCGATGATATAGTCTTTATGGCAGAATCGCTGGAGAACCTAAGCACTATGCTGAATGACCTCAATGGTGCCTCCCAACGGATAGGTCTTAAGATGAACATGGACAAAATAAAGATCATGTTTAATGTCCATGTCACACCTATTCCGGTAGTTGTTGGGAGCACTATGCTCGAAGTTGTTGATGAGTACGTTTACCTGGGACAAATAGTCCGACTAGGTAAGTCCAACTTCGACCGAGAGGTCAATCGACGGATTCAACTCGGCTGGGCAGCGTTCGGGAAATTACGACACATCTTCTCGTCAGGTATACCTCAATCTCTGAAAACTAGATTGTACAACCAGTGCGTGTTGCCAGTGATGACTTACGGATCTGAGACGTGGTCCTTCACTGCTGGCCGTATGAGGACGCTCAAGGTTGCTCAGCGACCTATGGAGAGGGCTATGCTCGGAGTTTCTCTGCGTGATAGACTCAGAAATGAGGATATCCGCAGTAAAACCAGAGTGACCGACATAGCCCAACGGATTAGTAAGCTGAAGTGGCAATGGGCCGGCCATATAGCTCGAAGAACCGATAACCGATGGGGAAGAAAGGTTCTCGAGTGGCAGCCTCGTACCGGTAGGCGTAGTGTAGGGTGACCCCCCACTATATGGAGTGACGACCTGGTAAGATATGCAGGAAGTCGATGGATGCAGGTAGCTCAGGACCGTGCTTTGTGGCATTACTTTGGGGAGGCCTATTTTCAGCAGTGGACTTGTGAAGGGCTGTAAAGATAATGATGATGATGATTCCCATGGAATTATTATTCATATATGGCTGAATAATTGAAAATAAAATAATAACGATCATATTCCAAATCATGGAGGCTCCAAGCAACCAGCAGTATCATAACGTATATAGAATTGTAAGGAATGTGCGTAACAGGAAGGGGAAATACGTAAATTAGTATGTTATATACAATTTTACTTGACAAAATACATTAAATCGTTAAAGATACTTCACATTACAAGTGATCTGATAACATGTTACAATATTTTTTTTATTTTAATAATTACTTTAAAAATACTTACTTTAAAAATAATTTAGTTACTTTATAAGAACTAAAATATTATGTTACCATATACGAAAATTATTTAAAATATGATGAAAAAGAAACGAGAGTAAAAGCCTCAATCATTGTTTAAATAAACCCTAATCTTTAATTATGGGATGAGAGCTATCGAAAAATATTATGTTTATCTTTGCCTTAAAATACAAATTAAACATTTAAAAAATATTGCCAACTCAAACCAAAATTTATAAAATAATAATTACAGTTAAAGCTTATGTTTACAAAATAGATCATATCAACACAAATCATCACAGGATACTTACCATTTAATTCATAAATTACGCCGTGGCTCCTTTGAATAATAATTAACGTTATCAAAAGAAAAATATTCATTTTCATTTTATTTATTTTAAAGACACTCAAACAAATGTTCTGGCCAATTGTTCAAAAAATCTGCACACTAGAAAGACTGATCTAAGTATCGAAGGAAGTCAGAGTCGTTATTTAACATTTGAAAATAAATCGCGCGTCTTATCTATACCGAACTACATTTAGTCGTATGCACGTAGACTTATATATGCCACAGTAAACCTTACCGTGGCTGAATATATTATTAATTAAAATGAATGTGACACGGGCGTAAAATTGTTCGCGAAAACAATATCTTGATTAAAACTGTTTATCATAATGTTAATTATAATTTTATATCTCAAAAATATCTTGTTGAGAAATAAAATTATAATTAACAGTATGACAAACTCGATCGAATATACATCGATCGAATACACAATTTTACTTGAAATTAAACTGTTTATAGTTAAAATTTTAAAAAATAAGTAACATGTAAAGAAAATATTCATCCGTTATAAATCGATTTTGATATTTGAGTTCAATCTTTGTGGCTAGGGTATTCATGATTATGAACATTACAACTTGCACGGGGTAATGCCTCTTAAGACAGCTTTAACTTTAAACGACGTACACAAATGATGCTTATATTTAATTACAGTTATTTAATTATCCTCTAATCACCGTTGAGGACTTAGAAAGAATCTGTTTAAAACTGGAGAGGGTCTCTTGACTTCAATAGAAGTAATGGTGACAAATGACATCGTCTCATTGACGTCTAATACTACGATCGCCAATCAGCCAAGTTGCCAAGCGTGAAAATTTATAGCAAATCCTTCTTTAAAGGGAAAAGTCCATGTCCAACAGCAGCCTTTTACACTGATGAAGGTGAAGAACAAATAGGAAGTTTTGGATGGATTTTCCGTCATCAATTCAGAGCCTCGTGCGCGGTTCGCAGCGGTCTGTTGTTAATTTGACAGCGAACGACTGCGTACGTCAGGTGGTGATTAGTCGCAAGACGTAATCGCTCGCTATTTAAGTGGGAAGCGGTTGTATAAATAGCAGCCGTTTCGGCTCGTCGCTCACTTAGCGGTCAGCAAATGCAGTCTATTTCACCTGAGGGTGGTATACTGTTTCTGGTGTGGTGTTGGACGTAGGGTGCACGCAATTGAGGGAGGGTGGGAGGTGCTCTTCAATCTGGGCAGGACACATCATTTTATTTCCTTACGCGGAAGTAAGCTAATTAAGTTATATCAACTTCAATTAAGAGCTCTTAGTACTAAACGTAGAACTTACTCGTCGTAGAAGGGATTTGCTACGTGTTGAGATTTTGATATTTCACATGTAAAATGTTCGTACACGATGGCATTAGGTAATATATAATATGGCGGATACAAATAATTTACCTTCACTAATGAATTAAGGCTTATTATAGTCAACCAAATCTAAGAAATACCTTTTGACGATTCACATTAATCTGTCAGCAATAACTTTGCACCAGCATACTCACACGATTTAAAATAACCTTTTACGTTAATCCGAGGAATTATGAAGTTATCTATATTTCATTACAACGTGTATAGTTTTTTATCACTAATTTAAACTTGAATTTTTCAAACAAAGCAAAATATTAAAAAATAACCAGTATTAACTTTTTTGTACTTGACGTCGTTTCAATGATATGTCGCTATGTATATTACCGTAATGTTTGGATGATTAAAATTCATTGTTGTGTTCAAAAAATTTCAAATAATCGAATCATTAATTTTTTTATGCATTGTTTGTTTAATTTAATTTTTATTTTCAAAATCCCTTAAATTACATGAATCATAAATAAAACAAATTTATATTTTTACTTTGTCAAAGTAAATTTGTGTAGGCAAAAAAACACATATACAAGGACTTGCTAAAATAACCACTACATAATTTCCATATCCCGCCATTTCGGTACCAGTTACTCGACTCCACAGAGTCAATAATTCATTCTTGGGGCGATGTATACGCTTTTACAACAAAATCCCAGAAAATATACAATATTTGACGTAAGTACACAAAGTTTAAAAACTTTATTAAACTAAGTTTGTATAAAGAGGGTTATTTTAATGTTAAGGAATTTATGGATGATAATAACCCCTAGGTAGGATGATCGCTACAAAGCTATTTCTGTTTTGTGTTGTTAATTGTAACACGCATGATGATTGTAAGCTCTTATTTTTTAAAAAACTAGTCCCGTTGAGTTTCTTGATGGTTCTTCCCAGGACAAGGTTTTTGCGAACCAGTGGTAAATGAAAAAAATGTCTTTCAATAAGTATTATTCATCTATATTGAATAAAAAAGTTTCTGTTTCTGTTTCGAGAGCTTACAGTTCGTAATTTTGTGTTCTTATTTTGTGACTCGGCTTTAACTTTTTGGACTGTTTCTTCTATAATAACTTTTTTTACGTGGTAGAGTCACGCTACATCTATATTATAGTTGTAGCACGAATGGGTCGGCTCAACCGGGACGGGACCACGCGCTCACAGAATACCAGCGTGAAATAGCAGCGTAATGTTGCTGTGTTTCTTATGGTGAGTGTAGAGAACCGGAGAGCCGGAGACCCTTTTTACTAGAATCGAGGCTTTCTATCTTAATCCTCTGAGGTGACAATGCATTTGCATTTTGATTCTTAATTGAGGATAAATATGTATGTTTATGGGCCATAGCATCCACTTACCATCAGGTGGACTGTGTATTCATTTGTCACCCAATGCTATAAAAAATATATTCGTTGAAGCATGTGCTCATATCATAAAGGATGATTGGGCAAAAGTGGTAGGAAAAACAAAAATTTGATTATGGATCACTTTGAAGGAGACATTAATTTTGACTGCATTATTGAAAATCAAATGATACTTATTATAAATAACGACATCTCTACTAGTTGTAGTGAAAGTCATTGAATAAATTTATTTATAATCTAGTTTCAATCTTAAGTTTTTATAACTGTTCCTCTATAAATAAGCAGTAACAACAAATACGAAGAAACTGATAAATCTTGTGTTCTTGTGTTTTAAATTATCCGTTTTTCATTTATTTTGGTATTATTCAAGCCAAACTGTAAATGATTACTAACTCTAAATAATCGATATCGATTTTTTTAAGAATCGAATATTGTACGTTCCGATTTTTTGGTTGGCATGCTTGGTGCAATAATTCTGACAGCTGTCAAAATGTATTTCTTAGATTTGGTTGACTATAATCCGTTGGGCTATGTCAGTCACTCTGGTTCTACTGCGGACATCCTCATTTCTAAGTTAATTACGTAGAGAATCTCCGATTTCACAATGGGGAAATGCGGCTAATTTAGAAACTATTTTTGTTTCGCAGAACTGGGCCAGAGAATCGCTTGTAATCAATATTTAATAAAAATGATTCTATTCTATATAGCTCAAAGAACCGACAACCGTCAGAGAAGAAAGATTCTCGAGAGAAAGCTTCGCACCGGATGGCAAAGTACATCCAAATGTACAATATCATGTCCATGTTTCACTGATAAAGCGAATAATTATCTTAAAGTACTATGTCTGACTACTGGTGAAAATGTCCCTGTGTAGTCGACACCAGGTTTTTGTGTAAGACTTTAGCCACCAACCTTGAACAAAACGCACTTATTGTCACCGACGAATTATAGAAAGCATGAAGAACTTCCCATGATGTCTCCTCCATTGGACCACAAAGGTCACTTTGTATCACATTTAACAATTCAATACTTCTTGCCTTCACAAGTCTTGCAAGGCGATTGCTTATAGTGATTCTGTCATCAAAATTCATTCCTCTGCTGCATTCTTAGTTTTCATCAAGTAATCGCTGTTTAGTTATCCTAATCTACGTTGCCAAGTGTAAACCGAGGTAGTCACTGTTGCAACCAGTCTTTTCTGTCTATTTTATCGATAAACACCATTCATCTAAGAAGATACATCAACTAATTCTTCGTTCCTATTATATATTTGTTTTTATATATTTGAAGTTTGTGAAAATCACTTTGCTGCCTTTTTCAATCAATTTGCTTACTCAGATAAGATGGGTTGCCAAATTTGGAACATAAAACACATCTTCAATGGTTATGTCGAATTCACAGCTTATGAATGACGTTATTAACTTAACATCGCCAGCACACGTCGCTGAAACAGTTTCTTGATTTGCTACCAAGATTTATTTTGCACAAAGGAACGCAAAAAAAAAGCAATTAAATGAACGCTAGCATCACAATCAACGTAACACTCTTTTTTTATTAAAACTTCCACTCAAGAATAAAGCTGAAAATACATACAAATAGAGACTCTATTCCAGTAAAAAGGGTCTCCGGTTGTATACACTTACCTTATGAAACACAGCAGCATTACGCTGTTATTTTACGCTGGTATTCTGTGCGAGCGTGGTCCTGACACGATCGAGCCAACATTCGCTCTACTATAATATAGTTATATTATTGCTGCAGTGTGGCTCCACTACATAATATAGCTATCTTCCTCAAGAGATCTGTGGAAGTGTGGAACAAATTTTACGAAATTTGACGTCGTAACTAAGCTCGCATTTTCTTGGTTTATCGTTGATTGTCCCATTATTAAATCTATACCTGGTAGCTCGCAATCAGTTCACCTATCAAAAATGAATCATAAACATTTACAATAATTTAGGAAGTATCTAGCAGCGAAGATAGTGGTGGATGCACTAGAGTGCAGTGCATTGGGGACTGCGTGAGGACAAGTGGGGCTCACGTTAAGGACAGGTGGTTACAGTGAGGGGCAGTGTGGTTAGTAAGTGGGTATCGTTACTGAGCATAAAGATGTTATGACGAGGTTATTCATTTTATCCAATATCAGCTTGGCTACTTATTGGTACTAGGGACAAAGTGAACAGATCTTTTGTTTTATGACTTCTCTAACTCAACATTTTAATGCAGTTTTGAAAAAATTATAGAACAATAGTTGTTCAATTTCACCCCACCAATTGGTCAAAATGAATAACCTTTTACCTATACCCGATACCTCTTGTTCATAATAAGT